ACTCAGCGAAGAACCATTCAATGCACTATTTGTGGGTTGGTTTTGGGACCTGGCGATGTGCCCATCGTCGCAGAGCACGTCGTTACTCTACAGAAACTCCCTTTTTTGGCGGAGTTGTTAGCACCAATCTAGCAAAAAATCCTGGTTAAGACGATATTCAGAGGTTGAAGAACGATAATCATGTAATCGGTAAATGTGTGAGAACGAAGTCCGTTCCGGAAAATATATCGCATAAACGGCAATATCGGCTTAACCATGATCGTCTTAACAGGGGTATGACTACAGTGACTCTAGGATCCAAAATGTTAGGCTTGAAACTGGGATGTTTAAGGGTTTAGCCCTGTAGGCGCAGTTGGGCTAGCTCGCAATAGGTTAGACAGTCTCTCCTTATTACCCCGCTTGCCATGAAGTATGGTCCAATCGTCTCAATCTAACGATCGCTTAGATCGACACATTTCCAACGACACTCATGACTGCCTAACCAACAAAGCCTCTGATTCTTAACATCACTACCAATTCATCTTCTATTCTAGCAAACAATGTCTCTCGAGAAGTCTGCTTCAGAAACTAGAGTTAGCAGTTATCTAACTCGCGATCAATGATTGAAATAAGAACATTAAGAAGACTTGGCTTGACATTACAACATATATCCGACCAACTTGGCTCCTCAAGAAGGCAAGTGCAACTTGAGTGTGCTGGAGAGACTGAAAATCCTACACCTCGCAAAGGATACTCACTTAAATTAAGCGCGAAAAAAGTTGATGAGCTTGAGGCTTTCGTCCCGGAATCTCCTGAAAATCGATAGATGTGCTATTTGGAACTAGCACTGGGACTCTTCAGCCACTGGGGATGCAATGAGCATTAACTTTCAAATGCCCTCAATAAAATAGGTTATAGCAGATGCAATGCTCGGAAGAAGCTTCCATTAAGTGTGGTCAACATGCACGAAAGATGTATAGCGGTGATAAAGGGAAATGGAGGGTACACAAAGTATCGGGATAGGGTAGACTAATACAAAACATATAGTACGCTCTCATTTTAGTTGTGAGCCATACTGAGGGCCTCGATGTATACTTTTGTAACACAGAGCAATTATTTTTGAGTTAGATGTGTATTTTTAGATAATATCAATTGGGTTTGAATATGAATTTGAAATATTTAACGTGACAGGACAAACCTAACAACTATTTAGACGTGACACGGGTAGATGGGCTCTGAGAGCTCAACGCTACCTACGTGACCGGCATTGAAGCCAGAAGCGACAAAAGAAAAAAAAGAGACAAGAAATGCCCGAGTTACAGTGCCCTGAGCTGCATCCCTATCTTCCAAGCACATCTCCTTGGCTCCAGGCGGGGTAAATTTCTCACAGCCTCTCCAACGTAGCAAAGCAGGTCGGCACTCTGAAGAATGCCAGGGCCTTTTCTCTCGGCCGCAAACGCATTTCAGATCTTCATGTTCGTGATTGAAAGGTCGATGGTAGTCGGCATATTCCCCGTGGCCAGTCCTTGCCGCAATTAGAGGGTGGTACGCCCATCTTGGTAGAGCCAGTCTCGGTGGTCTATTGCAACGCATGAAGAGGTCTAGATCTTTGTATCGTTCCGGTCGATACTTCTGCCACCACTCTTCCACGAGTTTTGACCCTGCATTTTAACTAGTCTCCCTAGTGCCGCAAAGGCTAGATTTTAAGATTCTCCACTGAGTAAAGCTGTGGTTAGTAACCAGTTGTTGAGAGATCTCAAAGCCGACTTTGCCAGCTCATCGGCCTCTTCAATGCCTTTGATCCCCATATGACCAGGTATCCAGCGTATTTCCACATGCTTGTTTTGTCTCAGCAGTGAAGACTTGTCCACAACTGCCTGAGAGAAACTAGATCTTCCTCTTTCGAGCGCTCGAGCGGCCGCATGATTGTCCAGAAGAATGCGAATCGATAGATCTTCTGTAACCACTACTGCAGCCTCCAAGGTTTTCATGGTGCCCACAACTTCCGCGTCGAATACATCTACTCCGGGAAGTGGACAAAAACCACTCCCAGCTAGCTTGCCTCTTTGGTGTACTACATGTCCCCAGGCTGATTGTCCAGGGCCTGAAGAAGATCCGTCAAAGAAGGCACAGATTGTCTCGGCTGGCAGGGAAGCTAACCATCGCTTTCTGCTTCCAGATCTAGCTTCTTTTTCTCGACTGCATGGAGTCGGTGCTGGGGAGCCGTCTGGAAAGTTTAGCTCTACAGGGCCTTCGGCTATCGGAACCCGACGCACGCTCATTTGCAGGCGTGTCATGTACCGTTCTGGTTATCTGAACAAGCGATTTCATCGTCCCGATCTAAGGCCTAAGCGTTTTATTGTCTCTCTCGGGCCCAGCCGCCCGAAGGGCTAGAGGATGCCAGATATCCATTCTTCGCATGCGGCCTGCCGATCGCAGCGTCTTTTGCTGGAGGATGATGGATGCTGGGGGTATTCCCGCTTCACGATGAAGAGCGCTATTTGGAGTGGTACGCCACGCTAGGGATGCTACTAGAATAGCTCTCATTCCCCTTTTGTCTAGCAAAGATATGTGCCAGCCTACGCCAGTGCCGACTTCTTTAACTCGTGGCGAGGCTATTCGAGCGAGACCAGGCCACCACGCTTCTGCCCCATATAGAGTCGTACTCAGAACGCATGCATGTACCGCACGAATTAGAGGTCCAGGAGCTGCACCGCGTTGAGATCCGTTTATATGTCTTGAGGGATGGACTAGACGATTAGCCTTCCCAGTCCATGATAATATCTATTGATTTTTTTTAATTTTTAATTTTAAATGAGGACCATTGTACAATTCTGTTAGAGCTGAAAACTAACCCCACAATTAATCTTTCACGGAATATGATTGGATAGTACACCTTGCTTACTTAACTAGTTGACGAACTAGACATGGGCCTGCATAAAGACCAAACCAATCAAATCAGTATGTACAGGAAGAGGGAGTCAAAGCACACTACAACTGGGCTAGCACGACCTCTCCCTCTGACATATGCGCCTACTCTGATGGTTCATCTGAAGGCCACGAAAGTTCCTCGTGGGGATATGTCCTCGAACGCGGAGGACAAACTTTCGCACAAGGTCACGGTCGTCTACATGGCGGTGAAGTTTTTCATGCAGAAATCGCAGGAGCAGCAGAAGCACTTCGGGAAGCTATGCGCGCTCGAAAGAACCGTGAGAGAATCTTCGTTCTTCTTGAAAATCAGGCAGCCGTACTTGCGCTTCGAACGGGGAAGTCATCATCGTCGCTGCAGATAACCCGCGTCTTTCACAAGATCGCGTCAGAAGCGAACGTGACAGTGAGGTGGGTGCCTGGACGCTCCAATAATAGTGGCAACGAAGAAGCGGACGCAGGCACACATACGCCGTTTGATTCACAATCGCCGATAGAAACGGGGGAAACAAGTCGGGTCCGGACAGATATCGAGACCTGGACTTACAGATGCGACGTCGGAAACCACTAGAACTAGGTCTTTCTCGAAGATTGCTCCATAAGCTCCTGGCAGCAAGATCAGGACATGGAGACTTTGTGGACTATCATCGCCGCCTAAACATCTGTACGCGGTGCCACTACGAGCCTAAGAGGGAAATATTATCTTGGAGCCAAGTTCAGTCAAATTTCGCAATATCAAAGAAATTGGCCCACGAGGCAAAAATTTTTAAATTACTCCACCACGTCATTTTTTCGCTCCCAACGAGTTTGACGCCTACTTATGCCTCATCAAGACTACAAGTACGACCTAGTACATCCTCATTCCAATGATCACACCTCTCGTTGACTTTCTCTGGCCACAGCCGGTCACAAAATACACGCCCACGCCGATATTTATACCCGAAGGAGGAAGCAAAGCGAGGCGCACAAATCTGGGAGATAGTTCTTTGGGATTGGTGTGAGAGGGATCAGGACAAGTTGACAAGATGATGGAAAAGAAGGATGTAATCTCGAAGGGCGTGAAATTTCGTATTTTGGCAAGAGTTTTAAGAATTGAGCTTTTTGCGCGCCAAGCATTCGACTGCGAGAGTGCAGCTGAAACTATAAAAATAAGCAGACGATGGAAGGTGTTGTGGTCCGCCGCCTGGTGGTGTTCTCTGGTATAGTTCGAGTAGCCTGGGTACCTACTCCACTTGGCAAGGAGACATCTAAGGTTACATTTCGCGCGGAGGAAGGATAATGGATGAAGGAGGCATTCCTGGATAACTTAAGGCTTTTGAGACGTTCCCCTGGGTGGGTATTCACGGATGAGGGTTGACTTGGGGTGAAGAAAAAGCCACCATAACTTCGCAGTGGTACTTGCAAATGAAATCAGAGGCATAAGTGCTCTTCTTGTAAATTGTTTCATCTATTGTACACTTCTCTGATATTGTCATAGCTAGATAGCTGCATACGCAATTAAAATCTGATTTAAAAAAAAAGAAAAAAAAAAAGACGTAGCATATAAAACTTGACTCGCATTACTATTTTAGGTTGAGGTTTACCGTGCATATACTACTCGAGTCGCATGTCTTACTACCATGCGACACGCTCAGGTATCAATCTATTAACCCACACCAAACCGAAACCATTCACAACTCAGATGATGACCCCATGAATAATTGTAACAGTAGCCTGCAACATAGCACAACTAGGCTAGACATCGTTGATCAGGACCTAATCCGAACAGAATGTGTGTAAATTTGTCGTATCACTACTGATAGAATCTTCGTCAAACAAGATTTTCGGGCGCACGGATCATTACCACGTGATTTATAAGCAGCGCAAGGCTGATGACTTTGACACAAAGTCAGTCCAAAGCTTGAGACCCAGGGCATTTCATGCCGGAATTCTTCAACAACGCCAGTATAGTCCAGATCCTAGTGACAGTTATTAAAACGGTTTTCTAAATGAGCTTAACATTTAATCAATTGAAAAAGAAGGCCTTGACACCCTCGGTAATGCAGGAGCAAAAATTTGACTGACCTTATCTCCCTCATTCGCTCTGATCCGCCATGCGACGCGCTACAGCTATCTTCATAGTTATAAACGCGACCATCATTCTTTACCTTCTTCACGCATGCAGCACCCTAATCGGCCTATTGTTCGAAGATGGTGCAGCAGACATTATTAGCTCAGAAGAGATACCCGCACTAGAGACTAAATGGAGCAAAAATTCTACGCAACTAATTCCAAAAATCATCCATCAAACCTACATCAACGAAAGTATACCGAGCCAGTGGATCTTGAGCCAAAAAAGCTGTTTGAATCTCCATCAAGATTATGAGTACAAGGCTCGTCCCACCCATGAATTCCCCATTAGATGAAGTAGACTTCAGGAATGCATGCAAAACTAATCATTCAATTATAGTTGTGGACAAATGTTGAGTCTCGCAACTTTATCGCTTCACAATTCCCCTGGTTTTTAAAAAATTTCGACGACTATCCATATGCCATCCAACGGGCCGATGCCATCCGATACTTCGTGCTTGCCCACTTTGGTGGCATCTACATTGATCTCGATGATGGATGTAATCGACGACTCGATCCTCTTCTCGCCTTTCCAGCCTGGTTACGCCGCACTGTTCCGACCGGTATTTCCAATGACGCTATGGGTAGCGTACCCCAGCATCCGTTTTTCCTTAAAGCTATCAATAGTCTTCAGACCTACCAGCGCAACTGGGGTGCACCATATTTATCGGTTATGTACAGTACAGGTCCGCTCTTTCTCAGTGTTCTCTGGAAGGAGTACATGCACGGTTATCGCCCAGCAGAAGAGCATGTAAGAATTTTGACGCTCAATAACTATAAGGGTTTTCCGGAAAGCTTTTTCAACGTCACAAAAGGCAATAGTTGGCACAGAGAAGATGCAAAGGCAGTCCTATGGATGGGAAAACATTGGATGTTGCTGACCGTCTCCGGGTTTGCTGCAGCTATAGTCATAGGAAGTTTTCTTTGGATGTTATGGAATCGGATTTTCTCGCGACCCACTAAGAGCCGGCGATGGAAGAGTGGTGCACACTATGAACTTGTTGATCGTCAGGCATAGACACTGTACTTGACGCCACTGCCAGCAAGCTCAGTGCAGCTCAGAAACAAGCTTGAAAGCGGACCATTTAGCCACTAGAACCTATATGAGAAGGTATCCTATCTCATTTTCTTTAAACAATTCATTCTTTTCGAAGGAGAATCTGTGGCTCTTTTAGCCCTCATTAGGTGGACATCTAACATAAGCCTACAGTCTTGACATAGCGAATGAATCCGAACCATTCGGCTAAGCTGTTGACCTTATTCAGCTTATGCATGGTGTGTATTAGCTCACCATCTCTTGACAGCATATGACGTTAGCTTTGAAGGGACTTCACATTTGTTGTTCACAATAATGGGTCCAAAAATGAAATTATATTATATCTAAAGAGGAGAATATCTACGACGCGCGCGCAAGATGTTTTGTTCCAATCGAGCGTGTTTTCCCGTGACACTAGCGCGCTTTTGTTCAAAGCTGGAGCCGGATAGTTCCGGATCCACATACAAGGCTACAGCCTGTAAAATTAGCACGTGCTGGCCTCCAAGCCACAATTCTAAGCAATATGGTTCTAGTAGGTCGTATAAAATCGCAGTATCCGACTAACTACCATGATTCAATGTCAAGTACTCATAGAATGGGAATGATCCTTCCAGATGGCGGTATTTGACCCAAAACTCGCATACGATTTATTGAGCACCTTGGGAGTCGATCAAGGATCTGCTGAAGACTCGATTCAATCGAAGTATCAGATCATAGACTGTATTTCATTTTCCAAATCTTAGCTAATTGAAAAAAGTCCTTCTCCAACTCTGTCCCTTATGTCATAAAAAAGCTGTCAAAAGATTCTGGTGCAATTGCATTTAAAGGAAGTACCAAAATTATAAGCTTGCTAGAAGTCTCTCTATAATATAAGGAATAAAAAATTATCATTGATCTTTAATTATAATAATCAAAATGAGAGTAATATAAATATAATGTTATCAGCTACAAAAGGAAGCAGTCGTGTTAGACTAAAGCTCAGTAGCCTAGGTTTTGGGGAGTTGATCACGACCCAAAAAGGCTCACTATAAGCTTTAATTACTTTGTCACTCAATTCTGTCGGATTACACTTTCTCAGTTGATCCCAGCTCTTATCCAAATTAAGCAGTAACATAAACTTATATTTCAAATCAGTGCTAGAAAAAATGAGGCGGTGACTCGTCTCAACTCACCGACAAAGTATTATGACCATAATTATAACATTATAGAAATGCCACGATATAATATCGGTCCTAGATTATTAACTAATAGTGGCACTAAGCCTGTGATAAATATTTTGACATTCAACTCAGAAATAATGCCAAATCTGAGATTTGATAAGTAAAAATTAACGTCACTTCAGCCTGCATGTCGTGCGAACTGTATGACTGAGAGATTCACACAGGGTGCACAACCTGCAAATAAAATATCTAAAGACCTCTATACCTGCACAAACACTTCCATACTCAAGTGATAGTGTCATCAATGTTTTGAAGATTAGCCGAGCTTAATTTGGCTAAGCTATTTCAGATATTCGCTTAATCGGACCATATTCAAAGAAACATTGTTCATGACCAAAATCTACTTTAAGCTTACGATAAAATTAACAATCTATAACTTTCAAGTCACCTTGGGTGGTGAGCTGTACTTAATAAATCCAGCTGAGATCATGTTTCAGTATTAGCACCTTCTAACCTGTCTATTTCAGCTATCGGGAAATCTTGGAAACCTCAAATTACAATCAAATATCTGTGGTATCGATTCTAGTAACAAATTAAATTTAAATAGTCCGCTTTTGTTTTGTCAGAACAATAAAATACTTAGCCTAAGAAGATTAGGCCACCAAATTTTCTAGGATATTAACAACTTGAAGCCAGAATCCTTCATCACAGCACCACACAGCATAACATTGAGACGGAAAAGATTCTTCGGTCGTGGTTTTAGAAACTCATGAATAAAAATGACAAGTTCGATGATTATCCTCCATACTCCTGAGTTGGTCTGCAACCAATCGTGGGTAATCTACAGACTACATTTATGGAATAAACACGACTGAAACATGTTTATTTGAATTTACTCAGGTGGATGATTTGAATGAACAGGCGCTGCGGCAATACTTTCAATGGGCATTTGAATAACTCGTAATAGAGTAGTTAATAGGTATAGATAAAAGGCCTTCGAAGTCTGATTGTTAGAAATAGACTTAAACGACAGAAAGACTGAATTAAATTAAATTGGAGACTTCAGCTAGAGCCAGTCGCGTACAAATATTTGTAACACCTTTTGATAGGAGATAGGACCATACATGGTAGAACTTCTTAAATTTTATCAGGAATTTCATCATGAATAAATGATTTGACTGGATGAGATTCCTGTGTTGCTCTTTAAAATATTTGGATTAAATCACACCTCTTAAGACGCCTCACTTACAAAATAGATCGGATTGTGAGGAAAATGTTGCGAGAGGATTCAGGATGGAAATTCTGGCCATGTCCAAGAGTGATATGGTATAAAATGAGACAAGGTCCGGATCGGAAAGGCGAAAGTTTTTCGAGGAATATATTCCTTTATTAGACCAGTATTTATGCAACGAAGCGTAGCGCAGTAGATTGGGCCATTAAATTTTATAATTTCTTTTATTTTACAACCGCGGAGTTATAGCTAATCAAAGTCATATGTAGTAGTTACAGTCAACCTTCCGACAGCCCACGCCCTTGCAAAGCCTTCTGGATGCAGAGCTTTAGCCTTAACCACAAATTCACTTCAATTTTATTGTTTGATGAGCAGCTGAAGCGAAAGATTCTGAGCATGCCTCCTTGTTTTCTTACATTTGTGGCCCAATTTAAGTCTATGGCTATAAAGAGCTTGCAGGTTCATCCTGATTACATGGCAAGGATCTCTAAGTCTCTTCGACGGCTCCCTTCAAACATTCTCACATTTCAAAAGTCTGCACTTGATTATACACTTAGAAGAAACTTGCGCCCTTCATTGTCTCCCCAGTCCAAGCGAAGGAGCCAAGGCTACTTTCTCGTGTGCAGAAGCCGGGAAATCTCGTAAATACTACTGCGCGCGACGATCTCATAATTTCGACTCTAGAACTAAGGTTAGAGAGAGCCATCTTTCGCCTGCTTTCTGGTAGGTCGACGAGCCGGGTGGTGTCTATTAAAGAGTTCTTGGGGGTTTGTCTGGAATGAAAGAAGTGAACGGTGAGCGTCAGGTCAATACGTTACGAATCGTAAGAGATTGGGGATTTATGGATCAGAGATAAAAGGTTGGGATCAGTGAGGTCTTTGCTTTTACCGAACTTATATTTAGTTTGTTAAAAGTGTTAGGTTTTAATCTACATCTAATTATCTATCTATTTTCTGCCTCGTTCAGAAACATTATGTTCTGATTACGTTGTGGAATAATATTCCCACCACCGATATCATTACCAACCGAGACCTCACCAAAGCTGGTAGCGATCGGAGATGATGGTGTTCTCCGGTATAGTTTGAGTAGCCTGCGCATCTACTCCACATGGGAAGGAGACATCTCAGATTACATTTCGCGCGAAGGAAAGTTCAGAGATGTTGGAGGCATGTCTGGATAACTCAGGGTTTTTGAGACGTTCCCCTGAGTGGGTATTCACGGACAAGGGTTGACTTGGGGTGAAAAAAAGCCGGCATGACTTCGAAGTGGTACATGCAATGAAATCTGAGGCATGAGTGGTCTTCTTTTACGTTGAATCATCTATTTTGTATTTTTCTTTGATATTGTGTATTAGCTAGATAGCTGCGTACGTAATTAAAATCTGATGCGAAAGTAAGGTCGAAGATGAGTAATCTTTGTCTACTCTGCACTGCGTGCAGTTCGGTCTGGTATGTCTAGATTTCGACACTGTCGACTTGTATACATCTAAGATAAATTGTTATAATAACGAGGTCATGAGGGGACAGAGGAATGCCTGAAATGGATACAGATGATTATGGATGCGCGGATATAATTGTTGTAGCTGTAGTGGGAGATACGTTGGAATGGACAGTAATGAACTGGTTGTTTCATTTCCTGCCTGCGGAAGTATTGCTACCTTCTATATACGTTCAGTACCCCAGTCCTGATCACGCACTCACCACAGGTACTTCCTACTTCTGTCACAGTAACCACTTCCATAGCCCCTGCCAATATCTCCTGTCATAACATACTATTGACACTGGTTGCTAGTGTGGAACTCCCGGGATTGCAGAGCTATACACCGTCGTCACATTATATGCTGTTGCCCCTCGGTAGCCATCAGAGTGATGTGCACCTCATTCTAAACGCATTGGTCCATCAGGCAACGCACGGATGTAGGGATGTTGCCAGAGTGATTAGGTACTTAGCTGTGCTATCAGTGCCCTAATCTCATCTAGCTTACTGCGGCCGAGTGTCCGAGTGCCGCTATGGTGGGAGCCCGATGAGGCTCGATCAGAGCTGGCCCAAGGTATTCACAACATAAATACCCTCCGCATTCCTTGTCCCTCCGATCTATCGTGTGCCAATACAGGACAGGGCTTATGTTGACTGGTCTGGAATTTATTACGCTACTTGAGTCTGAGACTACCTAACACACTCGGCTCCTCTGCGACCTAGGCCACGCCTTACGTGATTCTCCTTTACTATTTTGTCACGAAACAATATCTCTCACATATTGCCCATGATGGATAGCCACTTAGCTCGGTCTCCTTTTCTACGGAACATTCTACTTGGAGAAAAATTATAACAATCAAAAAACCTGCAACTATAGCCCGGTGCGAGCTAGACAATGAAGCCTTACGATGTGGGAATATCCATCTATATCTCCCTTCGCTGTAACGTCAGAGGCCAATTTTATCTAATCAACTATCACCGTATCGGGTGCTCTATCCGTCTAGGAAACTCATTGGATAGCTTTTCCTCTATGATTATGGCTGGGTGATGAGAAGAGCTTCGACCCTACCTGTCGGAATACTCGGGTGGCATTCATATCACAAGCTTTCTGTAGC